CAATCCTTAGAATAGTTTCATCCTTATTTTATTATTCCTTGATGGCCTAGTGCAAACGTTAGCAAAGAATGATATAAACGATAATACTAAAGTAAATAAAACTAAATTACTACGGTCTTTACAAATTGGATCAAATTGCGACAGATATATTTTGCAAAATGCTTTTTTACCAAGTAATCTGACCTGGATTTACATGTTTTTGCAGCTGAGTTCAGTGTTATTTCATTCATCTGTGTACGATGTACCGTTGTGTGCAGCACCGCTAGGCAATCGCAATGTAGGCTCTGCATACTATAGATTATTCACCCCGGCGCCACTCGCTTAGGTCATGCGCAATGAATCTGATTAAATGTTTTGGGCCACATCCAAATTTTCCGACTCAACTGACTCTAGGAATTGAATTTCCATCTAGTGAACAAAAAAGCCTTCTTTTGTTCTTCGTATAAAAAATTAAGCTTAGAGAAAGGAATACTGGAATATATTTCATCTTAATATACTCAAGGACAAGACATCTCGCAGTCGCCTGTTAAACTCTACATGTCTTTGTTATTGGGTCAAGAACAAAGGTAGACGGACAGTTTCCTCAAGGGCTCTTGAGAAAAACACGATTCTTGAAATACAAAAACGAATTCTGAAATCGGTACGACTGTGTACTTGGCTGACCTTACACGAGGGCAGACTCCCTGTGCCTCATGAAAACAATAAAATGACTAGTAAAACCGCTACTAGGCTGGATTTATGACAACAATAAAGTTCAAATTAATGTACTACACCGATGTAACAACGACAGTAATAGAGGGGCTATGAAATTGTACGTATTTGAATGTCGTTCTTTATGGCAAAAACAAAATCCATTAGCTCGCCTCTAATACTCTATAAGCCTAATTTGACTCATACACAAATAGATAGCTAGCTAAAGATACTATAGAGCAACATCTGATTAGGCTGAGCAAAAAAAAAGATAAGTTATTTTCATCCCTATTCACGCAGATAGTTATGATGTCACATGAGACAGCACTAAAGCCTCAGACAAATCTAATTTTCGCAATGTACAACAAAAATTATACTATAATTTAGTATTATCTTGGGTGGAATCTAAATCTCAATTCAAAAGACTGTCCCGAAATAATTCTATTTACCGAAGATGAAATAACTTCATTTAATTTACTTTGTCTTCGAACTGGGAATGTTGTAATCAAGTTAAGACCCAACTAAAGGAAACAAACATTGGATCCAGAAGTTCCACGTTTCCAAGTAAGTATTATTAGTCCTTAGTCTTGAGCAAGGCCATCGGCCGTTTGTTGTAATTATAGCGAACATGTGTTAGTCGCATTTCTCCAAACCGTTAAGTGAAGCGCTAACGAAACGCACCAAGTTTGATGACCCGAATGCATTGAGTCTATTAGTCACGCCAAAGCCGACTGCCACCATAGATCTCCCTCGATGAATAATGATTCGCAAAATGGAATTTCGGAGTACTGGGTAAGTGTGGAAGGCGTGGGCCGACAAGTATCGCCCACGTCTTGCCTTTTCTGGGCAACGTACGCTCGAACAAGCTTTCATTGCGTGCAGCAAAGAGACCACAAAAACAAGCTGGTCGCATTCGCATTGCAAGCCTATAAATATAGAAAGCCGTGTAGGTGGACATGTTCGCCTAAGATTGCATACAATTTCTCACATTACTAAATCTGATGAGTAATTATAATGAGCGATTGACTTGAATTGATGAAAGTTTTGTGACTTACTATTAGATATATTCTTAGTAAAAGCTTTCGAAAGAACTGCTCCGCCTAAACACATTATCGATCAACGATAAAATCCCCGGGAAAAACTATTCGAACCGCAACCGGTCAAATTAGATTGGCCTACCGAACGACCTAACTCCCCTGGTTAAATAAATCAGGAAAAGTGCCGTAATTGCATTTTAGTTAGTCAAGACTGAAGATTTCGATTTCTATTCCTTTCCAATCACTTTTTAATCAAATAAGCAATGTTAAAGATTGACTTGATGGAAGTACAGACTGTGGCTTTGTCTTCCCAGTTTGTGGAACTACGTTATCAATGTGCACAAAACAATGAGCTGACACTGCGTAGCTTACATTAGGTACGTAGAGACGTCTAAAGACAAAACGTATAAAACTAGATAGCACAATGCCTTATGATATCCGTTCGTTGACTGGAATAATGTAGTTGTTTACGATCCGTCATGGACAATGGTCAATATTTGCTTTAGGTGCGGCCGAGAATTCCCTTTATTGTCATGTTAATGTGTCGGATATCAGCCAAATAGGGAACAGCGTTGACTCCGCACCACTTATTTTTCAAATGAACAAAGTTCCGCCCCAAAACGGCCCATTAAGCGGCTTGCTTCGAGATATTACACCGCTGTTGTATTGTATTGGAATTTACCTCCGCCACTCTGGGACTATAGCTTTACCCGCTTCCTGCGCTTTTAATCAACGCCACCCTCCGAGGTTTGGGACCTCTTAGTGTCAATTTAATAACATTTCAAATTGAGCGTTAAATTTAAACATCGAAACCAGTAATTTTGTCAAAAGCTTTTTATAGTATCTTCAAAGGTAGGTAATTTAATAAAGTTGGCCGGATTTTTTGGAAGCTTAATTAAGCGCTGGTTTGTTTACACCAGTCTAACGCGGGCAGGACAATAGAGGAAAGAAAATATTACATTTTCATGGACGATTAAATGGGAACAATGGAGTTTGCGGTAGCGTAGAACGATGTGGTCACTGTCCCGCTTTTAGTGGGGTTTAAAAGTCGTAAAACACTCCTTTTTTAGCTGTTTTAGCTTCATTAGAGACAATTAAACGTAAAACAAAACAAAACCTCGCTATGTAAATAAAGGAATCGTATCCTTCGTACAAACACCGGAACTCAAAACAAGTTTCTTTACATGTCGACAACGAAACGATTAACATACGACGCCGGTTGTTTACGTGCAGCTAGCCGTCTTGTGTTCCCTAAAAGGGTTGGCATTTCAAAGTTCAAAATATGGCATAAACTCGTTATGTAGGAAGAGTTCAAGAGATGCTCGTGAGTCATCGCAACGGTTGCAGTGTCCTTGCCAACCGCCGTTCGTTTGAACAGAGGATGACACACACCCACGAAAAAATAACTTTCTCAGTGGCGCGTCGCCGGCCGGCGGCCGCAGCCGGAAAATTGGAACTCGTTTAACGGTCGCAATGATGACAAATAGCAAATTTTGTCGGCCGCAAATTGCTGCAAATTATTAAAATATTAATCAACCTGCAATTATCCACTTAAACGAGAGCATTGAACTACTTGATTGGAAATATAGGATAGTTACGTACTTTGTATTATTGTGATTTATAGCCTGTTTCCAGATACAAGTAATTCTTTGTCGTGACACTAGTAAGTAATTACGGGCGCGATAATGTGTGTGATTACTTGAAGACAGATTCATTATGATAGAGGAACATGAATGCCACATTTCTCAATTTCTATGCAAAATATTCCGTGCGCTGGAAACAATGGAGCTTTCTTAGATGAAAATAGGTCAGCCCACTGTGCTCTCGGGAATATTAAGAGATTACTTACTGACCCTAAATCTAAGGGGATTAAGTTGAGGCGAATGAACAGCTGCACTCATCTCTGGGAACCGGTTTCAACAGTAACTTAGAACATGCATCCTATGTGCATGGATATCATATTTCAATTAATGTCTCATTGCATGCAAATACACTGAAGATAAAAAATAAAAAAAAAACTTATTTCATATTAAAAGCGTTCTCGAAACAGATAATGGAATAGGTACCTAATGTTACTTTACTGAAACTTCATGTATAACATCTGTATGAAAAAGTAGAAATTCATCGTAAAACTAAGTTTTTATGTTCAGAATAGTGTTGTTCATGGCTTCACGCGTGAAATGTCGATATTTCAGGCTACACTCTTCTACTACTGCATTAAATTTGTGAACCATATACAGGTACACAACAGTATAATTATGTTATTACTTATTAATATGTATTCAGATTAGGGATTATCATCGAGAAATCGGGAATTTCGGTATACGATCGCTGCATGTTATACATAAATGCATCGATACAAAAATTGAAAGTGTCCTATAACGCTCAAACAGTGACTTGGACCATTTAAAAATACGATATAGTAACAGGAGTAGTAGTACCTATTGGCACAAAAGGTTGTGGTTTCTGCTTAGGTCCATGACGCACAGGCGTGAGCTTATGAATAAGACCTATAATTATTTAAACGAAAACCGACCGTTACGTAAATTAATCATATTTTTTTCATTTATAGGTAGGTAGGTACCTACCTACTTTGAATAAAAATAAACATCACTATAAAAAACCTGTATGTCGTAGTTTACAAACAAAACAGAACCTTGTTTCTTTCGGGTCGAGATAAAAAAGAAAAGACAAACTGTAGAAAAGTTGCAGATAGGTAAAGAAGTTAAAATATTTTTAATTAAATCAGAGGTTAATTTTTAAGTTAAAACAAACTTACATTTTAAATAAAATAGAATAAATAAGGAAGGAGGATGTCGTTTTAACAATACATGGATACCTGTCTAGCCGTAAGTTTGTTGGAGAGGAAAAAATCGTTGGTTCCTAAGAACATTTTTTTTTATAGCCAGCTATATTTTTATTCTAGGAATTGGATACATTCGAAACGACGGAAACATACCTACATACGTGGTCAGTCCCTAAGTAGGTACTCAAAATTGGTACCCAATAAGATTTATTTCTTATAAGAAGATTATTAAAAAATCGATCTTACGACTTACGTACTATGTAAAAACAATAAATTGCATTTAAAAAATAAAAGCAAGAAATATAACATCATTATCTAGTCCACTGGCAATAATAATAATAAATCTAAAAAAAGAAAAATTATAAAAGGTTAAACGTAAAAGTAACTATTGGATGAAATAATGAGCCCATTGTCGCTGGTATAATAAATAACGTACTTATATTTTTATTTAAATTAAATGTACTTACATTTAGCGGCTTCAACTTCCATCGTAGTTGTCTTTGTTTGAACTGGTAGAAGTTCGCTCTGGATAAAACAAAGGATGCTTTATTTCACACGACCGCTGCACACAAAGGACTAATAAGTTTTAAAGCAGGACGACTTCGACACAAAATCTTTATAACTTCTTATGCCGTTGAAACAGTTATTTTGAAATAAATTTGAAGTAAAGAAAGACAGGATATGAGTTAATAGTAGACGTTTTCTTTCATAAATGAAGTTTTCAGTTTATTTGACAAATCGATGGATGCACTCGTCTGATTGGCTGAAATCAAATCTGGCGGTTTCGCGTTCGATCCATCGACCAGTGATCTAGGAGGCCGCGTTCCGAAAATTATGGAGCAGATCTAATGTCCTCATCGTATTAAAAATAAGAATAATTTTTACGATTCAGTCAAAATAATAAACTATGAATAAATAATTGCAGATAACATTTCTTATAAGTAACTAGCAAAAATAAAGTATACAATTATTTACCTTGCACCTAACGACATCTAGTGACTTCTCATTTAACTTTCAAATCCACGCCCTCTATTGAAACTTTAGTAACAATGTCTACAGTTCTACACGTACATTCGTTCGATTTCCTTGTACTACGGTAGATACCTACCTAGGTATCTAATAATTTCTAAAATGCAAGGACAACGTTAAGTATGTTTACTTATATTAATTTATAATTCCACATATTAACATGAATCGATCTTCATAATGAGGAAATCAGAGAAACAAAGATGAGAAACTCCTCCCCGTAGGTAGTCCTCTAAAATAGGTAGTAAATAAAGCTTAATATTTGTTAACGTACTACGTAAGTACTATCTTTACAATAAAAAAGTGAAAGGTGCGAAATTTAGTCTAATTATAAACTATATTCCAAGGTATTGAGACTAACTTCTAAAGGTGGGTACTCTTAACTGCAGCACTCATACTCATAACATACCTTAAATATTATTATACTCTTTGGCGACAGCGGCGACACTTAACTATCCAAATACATCCAAGTACCTTTCCCGCCTGGCCCGGTTTGACGAAAGTTGGCATAGTGATAAGCTACTGTTACTATTTGTAATTTGTATGTAATATAAAAAAAAACATCAAAGTATGTAGTATTCTTAATAATTTAATAAATTAACAGTTCACTATATTCACTATGACATGAACAAATAAATACAATAATAAAATATTTGTTTAAATATTACAATAATAAATGTGTAAAATACATAGGTATAATAATATTTTCTACTATGCATGGACACCAATATCAATATTATTTAAAAAAAGTATGATTACATTTTATTTGAATTGCAACTGTTTTAATTTGCCAGTGTCACGCAAAATACCAGAATTAAAATGTAAACACACTTTTTTTTACAAAATTGTAGGTAATATAATTATCTACATACATCCAACTACATACCTATTCGAATATTAAATTCTGTAAAAATGTATTAATTTCAAAATTCTGTGATGCGAAAGAGTGTTTCAATACGTCGTAATAATAATTAATTACCAAAGTGTCATAGTCTATTTTGTCATAAGATAACAATGTAGAGAAAATATTACTTAATTATAAAACTAAAACTACTGGACTTGGCCACTTTGATTCGTTGAACTAGCGACTAAAAATACTTCCTTTTGTTTATGTTCTACAGGAAAAATACGATAGGCCCCAATTATATGAATCGGCAATGTGTGAAATCATTACGATACGGCCCTCAAGAGTACAAATTTGCAGTTCATAGAAGCCTACGTATTTCTCGTAGAACTTAAACCATAAAACAAATGTGAATTAAATCCATTAATTAAAACATAATAATCATCGTTTACGGTAAAACTAAGCATTAATTAAAAATCTAGTGTACCTATTTTTACCTTATAAATAGCATGAATATTTTGGCATATTTTCCCCCACATAATTTAATAACTAGTTGTAATTTTGGTGACCTTTGATTTTATTCTGATTCTTGAATCAGGTCTCCAAGAAAATTAGAATAACTGATGGTCTTGTGAGAGAGCTTAAACCGACTAAGTACTAGGGGATGTCGCCCACGCAAATTTGCTCTACTTGTCACTGCTAATTAGGTAGTCTGTGGCAGTCAGCCGTAGTGGCGCCTCTGCTGCATTTGGGGTATTACTGTCGCGAGACAGAGGGAAAATAAATTTAAGCCTAATTGATTATAAATTACAGTTGCGGGCCCTCCAAATTCCCCTTTACTATAAATAAAATCTGGAAACATATAACAACATTATTAAACATGACGTAGTAGGCAAATGCACAACAGTTAATTTTGTTACATGATGTAAAGCTTAAGTGTACGTCATTTAGCAAGAATTGTAGAGTACAAATGAATTAGTAGAAAACAATTGGCGGAAATATTAAATTGATAAATGCGAAAACGAAGATTCACATTGGCTATAAAGAATAAGCGTAAAATGTATAACTATGAGACTTTTTACGTACGATATAATTATAAAGTGATGAGCAATGTGCATATTGCATACTTCACCCAATAACATACTTGTGTTACATAGGGTATTCTATTTCCATTCAAGTAACAACGCCATATTATCTTTTTTTCATTGAAAAAAGTATAATGAATATGCAACAAAGCAGTCTCATATTAAATAAAGTAATTTATTTCCTAAGGTTACTAATGGAAATATATGAGTATTATACTAACAAATATAATGTGTACGACAGGCGTACTAAACAAGAGCTTAAATGGAAAAAAGAACAATTTGCTGTCGCAAAATTCATTGATGAAATTATGCTGCATTAATAAATGTTCAATTTTTCGAGTAGAGTTTTACAATGACGCAACAACTAATTAATTTATCTAGAAAATATTAAATCACTATGGTCATTAACCAAAAAGTGGTATACAAACTGTGCCTTTTTCTTATCTATCACTTGTCTATTTATTCTTGACTGTGGTTCTTGTGTTTGGTTGGGATTATCCCTGAGGAAAATGGCGCCAAACAATGTAGAAAGAGTTTTCGAGTCAAGTCCATTTTCAGCACTGTGCTGTAAAGCTTCTTGTAAGAATTCACACAAGTATAAGAAAACATTCTTTCTAAATTCTGGAAGCTCCATTATAATTTGTTTGCATTGCAAGTAATTGGCTGATGCTCTCAAACATACTGATTGAAGATTGTAAGGAATGATGGGGTCAGCTGTACTCTCAAGCAGTAACAATAGGGCTTCAGCCACTGAGTGAATACTGCCCGGTATTGGGTCTATAGAGCCGCTGTCTAACCAATCTCGAATCTGTAACACTTCAGAATGAAATCCTGGCTGCTCAAATAAGTTGGGCTCCTTCAGACCGTGTAAATAAATGTGGTCAACCAAGAACCAAATCTCTTTGGGGATAGAGTATGTGGACTGATTAGATACACATGAATCCCTTTTATTTTCAAGCTCAATTAATTTCCCTACAGGTACCTCTTTTATTGGCATATTGAGGTTCACTAAAACCTCTATAGAACACCCAAAACAACTTCTTTGGTATGTGCCATTAATGGTTATGAATATATCTTTGCCTCCATACAAATGCAGCACAAGAATATCATACAGTTTGTCTGTTCCAGCATTCATTTTGCAAGCAGATGTTTTATTAATTAGGACCTTAAGTTGGATTTCACATGTTTCTTCAGCACAGATACATTTTTTGTATGGTTCGACTATGAGCCATTCCTTGCAGAAGCTAGTTTCATCCAGTTTTTTGATAAACTCAAACTCCACTGGAAGCTTACCAATATTTTTGATAGTAATTGTTCGAACTTGCAGTTCTAAGTATCTCACAGTTCCGAAATCAATTTCAGTTCTATCAACTTTTACTTGAGGAATTAGCTCATTCTCCATCTTATCCAGTTGTTTAATAACTTCTTCATAGACTTTTCTATATTTCTCTTCATCTATTATTTTAATAGAGGAGTTGAATATGGCTGATACTGGTTTGTGATCACTTATATTTAATGATGGATGACTTCGGTAACCCAGTTGTGAGATATTATCTCCTTTCCAGAATATTCTGTCACACCAAGCAGGTGCTCTGTTCTTCTCACTGGAATCCCAGTTATCTGTTCCAGGATCATACTTGTATGTAGGTTTAAAGTTTATTTCCCCTTCTGTGTATCCAGAGAATACATTATTTAGTTTATGTTGTTGCTTGAGCTGGTCCCACTCCAATACTGGTGCAAAACTGTTTTCATTACACAGCTTTTTTACTGTGGTAGGATCTAGTTCTGTTATGCGGTAGTTCAGATCTCCCAGCCAGTATACTTGGTCATGGTCCTTGATCGATTTAGGAAGTTGGTTAGGTTGCACAAATCTGGTCCTGTTGCAGATATCTCTAAAGTCTTGGTTTCTTCTCTCAAATTCCTCTACATGTGCTGCCAAGTGGGAGTTTACAAAGCACAGTGAAGTGCTGTGGAGGTCAAATCTTATGGACACCCCACCTTTGTTCCCCATCTTGCCCATGATCCCAGTACCCACTGTATCACACACTACATTGCGAACATGAGACAAGTGTTTCTCTTTAATGAGGACTATTAACATCATGCCTACAAGTCTTACTTTCTCCACCTTCACATACTTTGCTCTTTTATCAACATATTTAATAACAGCAGAATACCACTCATCCTCTCTTAATGTTTGGTCAAACAGAAATGTCTCCTTAGATAGGTCCAACTCTTGAAATCCAACAGCATAGATGTCAGGGGGCTCCCTGTCAACACTCAGCCAATCCTTGAGAGGAATTACTGGAGATTTGTCATTCACATTCCATGTTCCACAGAATATAGAAAATTTCTTAGTAAAAGTGTATTCATACTCCTTGTCAGACATTTTGTGTTTGATGAGGCTCTCTCTTATGGCAACTGGAGCTGAGCTTTGCGTGTGCGGGACACCGCCAGGAAGCGCCATGGTGTGGGTAAGTATATCGTTGTCAATTTTACCAGTGTACTTCTTAAGCCACACGAAATCTGGCTGTGTTGGCACTTTGTTCACAGCTTCTATGCCTCTAAAAAGATCATCGACAAAGTTGTCGACGCGTGGAGTCATTTGTATTTCAAACTTATATTTATTACTACGAGATTGCAGATTCAGGTACAGTATGGCCTCAGGGTCGGAAGGTTTGTTATCTATTTCACATTTAAAACTCTTATCTATCGGCAGCACTATTTCTATGGATAAATCCGTGAAGGACTTTGGTGGGTAACATGACGTAAACAAGCAAAACACTGCCTTTTCATCACCAAACTCGACGATGGCCAGAAGCCGATCCTTTTTCACCCAGTCGGGATGTAATACCTTGGCATCACACAGGAAAGCTGTGACTCGTTCGCTGGATAAGAACTTTTCCTGTACCACCGACTTTATCTCGTCGTGATTCATGGTGTTTTATGGATGTGTTTCGTTCCACTTTTCACACGACATCGATATTGTTCGAATTCATTACATTACACTGACAGGTTTGCAAAATTATTTTGCTTGCTGTGACATCGCGTAATGACTTTGACGTTTAACTTTCTATCTCCTGATCGACATTGAGCGGTTTGATAGTTAAATATTTATTTCTAAAGAAAATAATATGAATAGAAGTAATAAAAAAATATTTTTACCGCGTTTAAATTACACCACACCGTTTAATAGGGTTATCAATGTTATAAAAGGTTATCCAAAATAAAGTAAAAAAAATAAAATGTACAAAAAATATTTCTGAACGATACAATGTAAGTCGTGGGAATTGTGATGGATAATTATGTTTACGGAGAGAGTTACAACAAACAAACTGTTCTAGAAAAATATTTTTCAAATCGTCAAACTATTTAAGATCATATTAGTTACATTAATTAATAAGCAAAATAATAATAATTCTATATCCGATATTATGTACTGCTTTTAATAACAATTGTCTGATAGAATGCATAGTTATTCAACATAAAATTATATAAAAGCGAGTTTCGGAAATGCGTATTGTGTAGCAAAATAGCAAGTTGAGTGATTATTTTGGTGTACTTGGGTACTTGTAAAAAAATATCATAAGATTCGTGGTAATCTGAGTTGAATAAATGTGATTTAATAGAATCTCGCGAACAAGAAGACAACAACAATACAGAAATATGTCTGGTGTGCCGAATGATTGGCAATTAGAATGCGTCGAAGTGAAGCAAAGGGGAGAATATCTCCTGAAGTCTGGGCAATGGTCGGATTGCACATTCTTGGTGGGAACAGAGCCCGACCAAGTGGTTATTGCTGGCCATAAGCTGATTTTGGCGATGGCATCTCCAGTTTTTGAAGCAATGTTCTATGGTGGTATGGCAGAGAGGAATGAGCCCATACCTATACTAGATGTCCAGCCAGAGGCTTTTAGAGCTCTGTTAGAGTGAGTATGTAACGTAAAAATAGTCTAAATACTCTTTTTAATTATGTATTATTAAAGATTTCAATTCTATGTACAGCAATTAACAAAAAAACATTTCAAAACTTATCATTTTAATGTATAACTTTGCAGGTACATATACACGGATAATATCAACATCAGTTCCTTTGATAAGGCCTGCGAGTTGTGTTATGGAGCTAAGAAGTATATGTTGCCTCACCTGGTGAAGGAATGCACTAGGTACCTGTGGTCAGACCTGTATCCGAGGAATGCTTGTCGTGCTTATGAGTTTGCAAGGCTCTTTGAAGAAAATGTACTTATGGATAAGTGCATACAGGTACACACCATCCTCTTACACCAAAATCATGGTTATGATATCTGTAGGTTTGATGATACAGCAGATGAAAAGATCATCAAGGCCTGATTTCAGAGAATGAGAATGTCTTGTGCTAGGTTGGGTTAGGTGATAGGCAGATTAAACAATTGCCTTGGGGGGAACTAAACAATAAGTTAAGTACCACACTTGTAGACTAAAAGATTTTACTCCTTTCTTACATTTGTGTAAGATTAGAGAAAATTGGTTCTGAGAATTACATTGCATTGTCTAGTCTGTAATTGTGACATCCACATTTCAAAGTCAAAATAATTTATTTGAACTACTGATACTTTTGAAACATCAATTATGTCAGTTTGCTTGTCAGTGAATCTAGGAGCAGAATATTTGCAAACAACTATCATTATATATAACAAAATCTTTTTATAGATCATCAGCACAAACACCAAAGAGGTTTTAAATGACAGCAGTTTTGAGGAAGTGGAGTTGAACACAGTTATGACAGTGTTTTCTTTGGACCATTTGAATGTGGACAGTGAACTAGACCTATTTAATGCTGCTGTGAGGTATGCCAAGGCTCAGGATAAGAGGAACTCAGAAAGGAGTGTGTCTCCACCATCAGAGATTGGACCTCCTAATGAGAAAAGGCCTAAAAGCCCTGGACCTTCCACTTCTAAAGATAAAGTAAGAAAAAATGAACTAATTATCTACCTTTGTTAAATGTTTTCAAATACTGTGATAAATTATTTTTCATGCTAGGTGCATAAGTTATCCATGAGTTGAGAAGTATTTACATATTTTTGTACCAATTAAATATGTGATGTTATGTACCTAATTATTGTACCAACAAAATGTGTTTAAAACATGATAATAATCTCTATTACTACCATAGCCACAGGTGGTGAATGTTGAAAGTAGTGCCGAGAACAGTCCAGAAGCAGTGATGGAGCCAGCAAAGTCCACCGACAACTCTGACCAGCCCTTGCCTGGACCCTCAGACGAGAGCAAGAAGAGCAAACCTGGTGAGCAACAAGTCACGTAACTGTTTATACTCTTTCATGAAATCTTGCTTCTGCTTATTCTTAATATGATATTAAAGCATTTCTATTGTTTTAAGAACCAATACAGGTGTTTGAATTGTGTGGGGAGTTCGAAAATATACTGTCAAATGGGGAAGAATCAATAAACTATGCAGAAATCCTTAATTCCAAAATTGAAGGTATTGCTATAAAATAAAATAGTAATATTTATGGGTGTTGGGTGGAACTCTAAGCTTCTAAGTTATTTTATTATATAAAAATAATTGTCTTTTCTCAGATCCTAAAACTGATAAACCAACAATTCGGAAAGCAATTGAGAAGATCCGTTTCTTGACGTTGACGCCTCAGCAGTTTGCGGAGGGACCTGCTCGTTCCTCTCTTCTCACAGAATCTGAAGCGTTTGCAGTTCTCATGAATATTCTGTCCAGCACTTCGGATGTGGCCATGCCAAGCGGCTTCTCTACCTGCAGAGTGCCCAGGAAGCAGCTTATTGGTGATGGACCATCTTCTAATGTAAGTATGCATTCAGATTTCTTCAGGTACATATGAAAACAGCTTCGATGACCTTCTATGGCCGTGTAGCACAATCGTGGGACAACGGCTATCTAGCCTTTTAAATTTGGTCCAACCCACTGAAAGTCCTTCGGAGTGAGAACTGACCTGACCTGGACCTTAATATTTGCCCAACACAGTACTATCTGGTGATTGGAAAAGGAATGCTGATGATACCAATAACTGGACAAAAAATTCAGTTGCCTAATTTCTGAATTTCAACAAATACCAAATGTTCTGGCTTCATGAAAAAAACTATTTCACTTCCGCATATATTTCAGATGGCAACGTTAACGGTGGACACTCCCAGCCCGGTGATGTTGGATCAAGTATTCGGAGCACCGTCACATCTCGCCTGCCTACCTCCCTACCCCAGACCTACGCGACACGATGGTAACAACAATATATTTTCTTTATAATACTTTTTGCATATTATAGTTAGCCTGTGCATTTTCTATAGGCAATTTTAGGCCGCGCCAGTAATGGCCCTTCTTAGAAAAAAGTTTGGTCGATCGTCTTTTGTGTCATGTTTCAGTCACACTGCTCACATCGCCCTAGCACAGACCTTATTGAAATATTAATAATATTTAATTTCTATCATTTTATTTATCAGATTATTTTTGACAGACGGTGGTTTACAATTGGGTCTAACATTTAAGGTAGAAAGACTGCAGCGCTACCTATCTTTAAGAAATCCCTGACAATTGTCTGACTGATCCCTGTTTAATTGTATTTTCCAATCCACAGTAGGTACAAGGCACTCCTCAATAGTCCAGAACATGAACCTGTCCGCTGGCCTGGGCGTAGGGGTTGGCGGGGTGGGGCTGGGGGTGTCTGAGCTGCCCCACCTGGACCGTCACGGCGCGGACTACAACAAGATCTACTGCCAGCGACCTATCATCCAGCACACCGACTGTCTCAACACTTCTGTCCTCGACTGCTCCGTTACTTTCATGGTCGATAAGAATATCTGCCTGCTAGGTGTGCAGGTAAGATTAATTTATACTAATACCTGCAGACCCAGCCACGCGTTGCTGTGGTAAATAATATTGTGACTATAAATTGAGATGTAAGCTATTCTATCTTTCAAGGGTGATGAAATTGCACACGGAATGTAAATCAAATTTAAAATCGGTTAAGTAGTTTATAAGTCCATCGCGGACAAATACGTGACACAAAATTTTTATATATAATATATGTATAAAGCTGGAACTACTGGTCCGAATTTAACTATTCTTTTTGTATTTATTAAGTAGAAGTAGCGAGTAGTTAAATATAGTTTATAGTTAATAGTTAAGGAAACATATTTTAAGTTACTTTGTCGAATAAGGTAAAGTTGGTAATGGCAATGTAATATGTGACTTATAAAACATTAATAAAGAAATATCATTCGTACCTCTTACAGGTGCCGACTCAAGCCCCGAGCGAGGAGAGCGGAGTGTCGATGGCGGGCGGCGTCGGCGGCGGGGGCTCCTACTGCGAGCTCTTGTACGCTCACCTGCTGGACGCGGACGGGGCCCGCCTCACCTATACCCACTACACGAGCCGCGTGCCCTACCGACATCTGCTAGACATCATGTTCAACAGACCCGTCTACATACAAAGGAATAAGGTAAATAGTTTATTTATGCACTGCTTATTTATCTTCCGCTTATCCGAAATATGAAAAAAGGTATATGAGATCATGATCATCGATACATTTACGCCCACCGCTAGGCGAGCTGGTGTGGTCTTTCCTCAAAGGAAAACTCCTGAATGAAACTGCCGCTCATAGTATGAGCTTTCACTAAAGAGAATTAGGTCCCTTGTTTTACGGGTGACTTTTTGTCATTCACCATCATATCACACACTTCCTTTGAATATAATTTACTAGCTACTCTATTCACCCGCTGCTCGGCTCTGATCGTAGCGTGATGTTTTATATTGTAGCCTATAGCACTAAGGAACATTGTAGCTATCTATCAGTGAAAGAATTTTGGCAATCCGACCAGCGGTTCCAAAGATTACCCCCTACATACAAACTTACAAATTTTACCTCTTTATAATAATAGTATAGAAGTATAGATAACATTTTTTTTTTGTTATAGGTGTACAAAGTGGGTATAGTATTCAACAAAGTAGGTTGGTATCCCATGGGCACCTGCGCCCAGCAGGTAGCAGCTGAATCTGTCTTCTTCAACTTTGGCATCGGACAGAGCTCAGACTCAGTCCGAGATGGACTCATAAGGTCCATTATCTTTACCTACTAGCATACACTGCCACCCGATCTTTGCTTCGTTTTCTAAAGACGAACAAAAGGTTGCTGGTGAATATATATATACATAAATACTCTTATTAAAGTATTACAGTACTTTGACCAAGCTTCCACGACAATCAATATGGTAGTTTCCAACTAGTCAAATTCAATACTTTTATTCAAACAACGTTACTTTTTTTTGAAATTTGGGTGAAACTACGAAATATGATGAAAAAAAATTCTTAAAAATATCTAAAATTTAGTTTATCGATCGATAAATAAAAGTACTTATACCTATTAGTCAATATTTTATTTTAAACGTAACGAATTAATTTATTTTTGACCTAGGAAACTACCAAATTCTTTTATTAACGAGCCTGTGAAAAAAATGTTTTTTTTATTAGACATAAACAGAAATGCAGTATTGTATATAGAATTTGTTTCTGTTTTGAAAAACTGACTTTAAATCGAAAAATTACGTAAATGTCTTTTTATATCGAAGGTGAACGCCAAAGTTTTGATATTCGTTATAAGCATCAGTGTGTGTAAGTGTATATTGTATATACTATTATTGTTACAAATTTTCAAATTTTTATAGTCTTATTATAGTGGACAGTTAAAGTTTTCAATTATCGATATTGTCAAGAATGAATTAGATTTTTCTAGAAATTTTGAAATCAGAATTATTTGTAAATAAACTGCACAATAAATTCGTACTCATTTCATATTATTCTATTTTCAAATTATTTGATTTGGAGAGCAATGACGTAGAAAAAACTGAATGAGTAAATTATGTTCTTTTTTTTTAGTTTCGTATGTTATTCGACTTTTGAGCTGCGTGTAGTGTGTTCAATCTGTTTATTTACAACAATAAGAATATTCAAGGCATTTAAATGTACTTATTTTAATGAGGGCTATAGTTTTTTACCCACCAAATGGCGCGAATGTAGCATGAAGAAGTCGCTGTCGCCGTCGCTGTCATTTTTTCATGTTCAAATGTATCTGTCGTATGACCAAATATTTGAAGCCGTTGATGGCCCAATCATTGGCACTAGTTAGTAAAGTAATTTCCAACAAGTTGACTAGTTTATAAATGTCAAAACGAAAGTGTTGTATAAAATAAAATGTGACCGCGTCATAATTTTTTACGTGAAGTTTCATACATATGTATGTATATATATTTCTGTTAATTTATCTGATAAATAAGAAGGAAGTGTATCGTAAAATTATTGATTAAAGTATTATTTTATTATTTATGATTTTGTAAGGTGACATAATTTCTTGTTGACTGAAAATAATATTCAATTCTCTACTGTACAACCAATATCATTAGCGCCATCTAGTAAGAAACTAACTTTAGCCCTCATTGGAATACAAAAAGTATTTTAACTTGTTCTTTGACGTTTTGCTTGTAAATCCTTCAGTACTTATATCACAATAATAAGGACCTGAACAAAATGTACCTACCGTAAAACGAGGTGAATAGCATCGAGGGGTGAATAGATATACACCAAAGGGCTGAATAAATCTAGTATCTACTAAGAAAATTCGCCAACATTCACCCCTCTTCTTTGTCTATTCCCCCCATTTTACTGTACACTTATTTTGGTATTTTCGACCAAGACCTTACGGTTTAAAACCTACGACATTATGAGAAATAGCATTTAAAAAAAAATATTTAAATGAAACCTCTTTTGAATAAAATTTCGAACAACTAAATCATACAGCCATGGCCAAGACCTCAATGTACCCCTGTGGTGGTGGTCTTCAAACTGAAGCATCATGCCACTTTTATCAATAGATCCCTCTGCCCAACTGCCAATAGGAGGGATATGTTATCTAGCTTTGTTTTTATGATGTAATCTGTAGAACTGTTAAGGATAATCATTGTACTTAGCTTGTAATTCTTGTTCAAATTATTTATTAAAAAAATTTATTAAATATTTTTGATACTATATTTTGTTTTATTTATATTGTTCAGTATGTTTGATTTAATAATTCAACCTTCCTAATTAATATTTTAAACTTTTATGGCTTTCTTTAGTATTTATTAATAGGTTTATATTAAAAAATCTAAGTTAAGTTACTGAAATTTCTTTAAAAATAATATTGTCGCACTTGGATACTTATCCAATATTATTTGTCCATTTTATAACCGATGAGGTGTTGTAATTTAATTTGATGTAACTTGTAGATTAGTTCATATTCTCAAGGTGTATTACTAAACTGTTTTAATTAAATTATGGTCACGAGTTCTCGGTACTTAACGCAATCCCCGTGAATGTATCGAATTAAAGACGATAGGCTCACACTTGACAGTCGTGAGCAGGCAACTTTTCAAGTTTACGAAGAATGCTATGCAAATTTTAAAAATATTATAATTTAATGACTGAAAAGTTCCAATTAAATGTAATAAAATGAAATTTGTGCTTTAAAATAATCTAGTTAAGATTGATTTTCATTGTGTGTAAAATAAATGATGTGGGTAATTTATTGTTGTCCATAGTGAAGTTGGATAGCAATATTCATAAACAAGCAGCTGTCAATTTTGACTTTTGTCATGTTGGAAGTGGCGAATTCTTTCTAAAGTTTGGTTCATGATTCGCTTAGTTTTGTCCATATTACGGCGATTATACGATGTTTAGTTAATTAAAATGTTCTTAAGTGGCCTGCTTTAACATTAGGATAGTGTTATTTTATAGATATAGGCTTATCGGAACAGTAAAATTGATGTAATAAGCCACCATGTCTCCTAATAGATGTGATGGTTTACTCGCAAGGGTTGATTTTCCACTGTACACGCTTCAAACACTAACGAATCGACACGTAATTGTTGCGGGTGGTGGTGGAGCCGCAGCTACAGGCGTTGCTAATGGATTTGTAAGTATAAAATTGTACAAAATCGTATTTATGCCGTTCCTATTAATTCTATGGGTATACGTGTCAGCTGCTTACTCACACGGCTAATCAATGCAGTTTCGCTGATTGTGGATACATAAATAACATAGCTCTCACATTCCTAAACAACATTAGCATACAGAAAGTAACATGCGAATTTAATGTCATGAACATAATGTACTAGTGATGGTCCAATGATCACAAACTGGTAGCTATTAATCATTTGGTTTTTATCGCCTGTTCAAAAAAATGTAGCGAGCAAGAATTAGGATGTTCAATGAATGAATAGGCAGTTTATGAATTACTATATCACAAAGACAAGTGACTAAAATTTTTTAATTAGAATAACATTTATTTCTAGGAAATATTTGAGCTCTCACACAATGGAACTAGATTTGTTGCCGAAGAGGTGATGCGCCACGAAACTGGGCCCAATGTTGTGATGAACTGTTCTGTACAGAGCAATAAGAACAAGACATATTTAACAGCAGGCCAGGAGAGTCACTGTCAACTGTATAAAGTGAACATTCGCATGGTGGATGCAGCGGAGATGCGCAGAGGCAGCTTCAGAGCAGAGAATGGGCTGGTGAGGAGAAGAAGGCGCACTGTATCAGAGAATGACAATATATCTAAGAAGGACAGTAACAGTAACACAACGGAGAAAAGAATATCATTTGAAATAAGGCCTAGTGACAGTGTGCAGACAGATTTCAGGTAAAATTTAATTCAATTTACAGTAATAAGTTCTTGGAAGACTTTTAAACTAATAGGATTACCTCCTACTTTGTTATTAATTTTGTAAATGAATGGAAAAAACCTTTGCAAATTACTGAGTTTGAGGAAAATCTTTGGGGTCAAAGTCAAAATCATTTATTCCAATTAAACCAATAACAGGTACTTTTCAAATGTCAAAATATAATAAGTCTGTCAGTCTGTTCATCAGTGAAACTAGCTCCTAGTAACTATTTTATATTTGTTTGTATATTAGGGGAATAGTAAATTTAAAAAATAGGCTACTAGTGTTGTTGTTTTGGCTCTTATTTCATAATGACATATTTGCAACTAAATCAGCCATTATCAAGTATCTTTTTAAGTTCTATTAATAGACACTAATGTCTTGTTTCACAATATCTTAGAAGCTACTATGTACAAAATAATAAACATAATTTAAATATAGAACATCATTTGACCATAAAGAAAATCTCACTACATTTTCTTTGTTTACATTGTATCTTGTTTTGGTCTTCATTACTTAAAGGAGGTTGATAGGAAGTAAATATTTATTTCATTAAGGTAAGAGTCATCAGTAAAGGACTCTAACTACTTCTAAGTAGTTTTTATACAAATGAAACAATTAATAAATGCTTCATTAGTAGCTAATAAGTGCCATGACTTTATGTAAAGACTATCTTAAGCGCAGGCCACACCGCCATCTAGCGGGCGGGCGGGCTAGGCGGATGGGCGAAGCGAACGAAGGGAACTATACAAACTACGCGAAATATTGGCGAGCTAAACTATGGGGTTCACACCAAAAACAAAACACTACACTGCTATTCGAAAGACAAGCGTCAACTAGTCTACTCGAAACGGGGAGGACGGGCGAACGAACCGGGAGCGCCAACGAGGTGAACGAGTAGCTTCGCTGGAATCGTCGGATATTTCGTTAGCTTAGCTCGTTAGGTTAGTCGGTAGCTCGCGGTGTGAACCGAAGTATGTAAAGAGGTGAAACGATGTTCGCCCGCCTAGCCCGCCCGCCCGCTAGCTGGTGGTGTGTCCTGCGCTTAATGATGAGTTAATTTACACAAGATTATTCCTGCATGTATATGTTAATTTTAAAATTATCTGAACATATTTGGTACTGACATTGATTGGAACTCGAGAAAGGACATAGGATAGTTTTTTTGTGGGTTTGTTTAATAGGAAAGATTTTAAAAACCAAAAAATATTTTTTGGCGTAAAATAAAACAGTTCTCTCATAAAATCTTATAACATAAAAAAATTAAGTATACCGTTAAATTAATAAATTGAGGTGTGATTATTTTAAAGTACTTTTATAGTAGGTATTATAAATTGAAAGGCTTTCTTTTTAACTCAGGAAATTACCCAACTAACAAATTACCACACTTCGATTTACCTCTTCAGAAAAGAAAACGTCCGATTCACACACCATTCTAAATCTACAAACATACATATC